GGGAGGGTGCTTGGAGTGAGATTCAATGAAGCTCAGTAGACAGGGTGATGTTTATCGTTAAGGAGGGAAAGTTGGTTCTTAACTTGGTAACAGTGAAAGGTCCCAGCTAGCACTTGCCCCTAGTAAGTGGGACTTCTGTTTGTAGGAAACTAGCCCCATTGTGTCTGCAGTAAGACACTTGGGCTGGTTTTTATGCAGCTCCTACTGCTACTGTGACAGGACCTGGCTATTGTCACAGAGTGTCACCTTCTCAGGCACCCTGGACTCGGGCTTCTTTCTACCAGCTAGGCTTGGATCTAGGATCATGCTGAGGCTGCAGCCAGCTGCGCCACTTCTCAGCTGTGTGTAGGGGAGGTGTTCAACCTCCCTGGGCCTCAGTCTCCTTGCCGTCAGATGGGTTTGATAAGATAATCCACACTCAATTGATGAGGTCCACAGGGAGTACATTTGTACAAAGGAGCCCAGCACCTGACTCCCAGAACGCAAAGGGAAAGGCAGGTCACCTAGCTTGAGTGTGGCATGTGGGAGCAGGAACCAGATAGGCCAGCTGGCCTGGAGGCCTTAAGGCTGATGCATAGGCCCAGACTCGATCCTTACTTGGAAACAGGAGTGCTGGGGACATGGTGAATATGCATGACTGCAGGGTCCTGGATGTGGACCTACTGTGTCTGATTTCCATGGGGCTTGTGCAGAGGTCAGTTCTCCTTCAGTGCAGATTCTAGCACACCAGTTGTGTCCATGGAAGATGGAGTCTCATTCCTTATTAATGGTGTCAAAGCAGCCTCGAGAGATGGAAGAAAGTTAGGTTAGGTAGGTGCCCCTGGATTTAACCATCTGCTGGGGTCTATGTATGTGATGGGTGTGTAGATGGCATGAAGTGGGCCTTAGATGATGTCAGGTACTAGCAGAGCTCTGCACCCCAGCATCCAGCAGTACGCATAGGGCTCATGGAGGTTTGGGAGGACAGATGGGGCATGACTGGGATGTGAGGGATAGGGGTGGGGTTTGGACAGCTTTCCGATGGTCTTGGCAGGTCTCTCTGCTAAGTGACACCTGAGGAGGGCTACGTGGGATGGAGGGAGAAGCAAGTGCACTGCTGGGGCCCAGGGGCTGTAGGGGTCTCATTTTATCTATGTTTGAGTCTGAGTCCATGTACCCCTGCTACAGCTCTGCACCAGCCCTCCCTGGGATCTGTGCTGTACCTGGAGCTCTGCTTCTTCCCAAGGGACCCTGAGGGGCCTAGGCCCTTATGTCAAAGCCCCCATGTCCTTCCTGTCACCAAGGAGGGGCCAGATGGTACCTTCTGGGCACGTCCTGGGGGCCCAGTGCATGGAGTGAGTTCTCAGTGAATTTAGTATCTGTGTCATCTTTGGTGCTCTGGCCACTGCTGTTGCCATGGTGATGATGCTGGGGTGATCCCCTTACCTTTCACCTCTCATCTGAGGGGAGAAGTAACTAATTCATGACAGGTCATTGGCTAGGGATAGGTGCTCACAAGTTAGGGCCCAGCAATCAGGCTGTCTCCCCCCCACCTGGGAGAGGAGCAGTGGCCACCTTGTCCCTTTCCCTGGAGACAGGTTCTGTCCTGTGGGAGGGATACATTCCATCTCACAGTCCCCTTGCTGGGATGTGGGTTTCTACGATTGGCTACTCTGATGTAATAAAAATTTCTGGGATCTGCTCTCTGAGGAGAGCATGGGATACCCCCAGTTCTGGCTCCTTCCCCACCGCCTGCAATCAGAGGCTGGAGCCCTGCCTCAAGTCTGGGGCAGCCTATGGTTCCAAAGGGCCACTCTGGACTTGGGCACTGAGCACAGAGGCAGGCAGGGCTCCCTGCAACCCAATGTCAAACCACAGCCCTCGGATCCTCAGTGGCTGCCAGATTTCAGAGCCCTGGGGTTGAGGCCATCCTCCGTTTACAGGTGGGGAGACCGAGGATTGCAGCCGGGAGGTGACGTTTGAGCAGAGACCCAGCTTCCGTGAGGGGGCCAGCCAGGTAGATATATGGGGAAGAGTGCTCCTGCAGAGGGGATGGTATGCAGGCCCCAAGATGGGCAGGACCAGCATAAGGCTGCCAGGGTGAGAGGGCGAGGGCGAGGGGGAGGGTAGAGGCAGCCTGGACTTGGGTCTGGTGGGGGCGGAGCGATGGGAGTGACCAAGCCAGACTGTTCTGGACTTGACTATGTGCTGATTGTGCTCTGTGTTGAGATGGGGCACCATGTTGTTGTGCACAGAGCAGTTGGGTTTAGGGAGGTGTGGGGACCTTGGAGGAGAAAGACAATCGGACAGGCTGAGAGCAGTGAGCACCCAGGAGCTGCAATGAGCCTTAAAAGTGGGAGAATAGGGTTGCCCGTTTCCAGCAGATCAAACTGATGTTCATGCTGAGGCCACATGGCACATCTACAGGTCTGGGGTGGGAGTTCCACCAGGATTTGGTGAGAGCTTGGACCCTCTCATGAACCCAGAGCTGAGGGGTTCCCTGGGCAGACCCCTGGTGGTGGGCAGGTTTGTCTGTCCTTGCCAGGTTTATGGGGTATCTGCAGCCACGTTTCCCTGTGGGCCTGTTCACAAAGCCTCCTGTAGCTCGTGTGAAACTTTGAAGTAAATAACAGGCTGAAGGCTGGCAGGAGGATGATAGGAGGAGCTCCTGAGTGACACTCCACTGGCCGGGAGTCCCATGTTGGGTTTTAACTGTCATCACTCACTGTGGTAGAGCTGTTCCCCCACCCTCGCTCCCCTTCTCAGGAGGGCAGAGGGCTGCTGTCCTCACCATTTATTATAACAATTTACTGAGATATGACCCATTTAAAATGTACACTTCAGTATGGTCAGTATACTTGGAGTTGTGCGCCCATCCCCTCCATTCGATTCCAGAATATTCCATCACCCCAAAAGAAACTTGTCCCCATCAGCAGTCACCTTCTCTCTCTCCCCAGCCCCTGATAACCACTGACTCACTCCTTGTCCCTGTGGATTTGCCTGTTTTGGAGATTGCACGTAAATGGAATCATACCGTGTCGCCTTTTGTGTCTGGTGTCTCCCACTGAGCATCATGTGTTTAGGGTCCATCTGCATTGTATTGAGTGTCAGTGCTTTACTCCTTTTCACGGTTGAGTAATATTCCAGTATGTGGATGACCACATTCATAAGTTGATGGACACTTGGGTTATTGTGGCTCTTGTGACTCAAGCCATGGACATGCTTGGATAGGATTCTTTGTGGGGGTGTTTTTATTTTGCTTTGGTGGACACCTGGCAGTGCATTGCAGGGCCATGTGGTGACTGTGACCTTCGAAGGAACTGCTCACTGTGTTATGGAGAGACTGCCCATTGCACGTCCCCACCAGCGTGTTGGAGGTTCCGATTCCTCCATGTCCTTGCCAGCACTTGTCACTGTGATCTGTTTGAATGTAGTCATCCCATGGGTGTGCAGTGTGTCTCACTGGTTGTAATCTGCATTTCCCTCTTGCCTGATGGTGTCAAGCATCTTTTTATGGGCAATGGCCATTTGTGTATCTGAAGAAATGATCCTTTGGTCATATTGTAACTGAGTTGTCTTTTTATTGAGAGTTCTTTATATATTTTGGATATAAGGCCCAATGACCTGTGCAGCTCCCACCTGCCCTCCCCACTTGGCTCCGGCAGCTTTGCTTTTGGCAGTGGCGCAGGTGAGAGGGGCCAGGTGTGTGCTGTGCAGCACCCGCTGTCCAGATGGTGGTGTCCAGCTCTCCACCGTGGGGCTACTCCTGCAGAAGGTGATGTCACATGGGACTGTGAACAGCCCCACCTTCTCTGCCACACAGCATGCCGGCAGTGCTTCTGAAATGTCACCTTGGGCAGAAGCAGGTCTTCCATGGATGTCTTGTCTCCTGTCTGTGGCTTTAAGGACACCTGTGATAGCCCTGCCCTGTACACACCCAACAATCACAGTGTGGACTGGGCTTGTTTCAAGGACATCAGCGTGGTTTCAGGGCTCACACATTTTGTGCCTGGGCGGGTCCTCTGCTCCCTGCCCCAGGACATCACAGTCTGCCACCTGGCTGCCGGAGGGAGGGATGCAGGGGGTGTGGCCAGTGCAGATGGGGTCATGCTCTAGCTTAGGGTCACAGGTCCTCTGCCGGGGCTGCCAGAATGTTCCAGAAATGCTACTGTGGGGTGTCCACAGGTCAGTCCCTCTGCCCTCAGTGGCCACCTTCCTGGGAGCTGACCTGCTGAGGCCCAGATAGCCCTAGAGCCCCACAGATAGTCTCTTGTGCAGCCCTCCAGGAGTATAGGATCAGGCACCTACCCAGGACCACATCTCCTTTATGTGCGTGTAGGGGGCCACTGAGAATGTTCTTGTGAACAGCTTGCTGGACCCTTATTAGCTGGCTTGTGTTTGCTGCAGGCCTTGTCAGAGCCTTTATCAGCTGATATGCTGAATGGACACTCTGAAACTCTCTGACTGGGATGTGGGCAGTTGGGGAGATCACCTGCAGAAGAACAGGTTGAGATATAGAGGTTGTAGCTGTGGTTGATAGGTGCCCATGCCCAAACCTTGCCCACATCCATCAGCCAGGCCTCTGCTGGGTCTGATCCTGGACTGGAGCAGTTTCACAGAAGGGTTTCGGGAGGTGACTCCCATCCTGAGCCTCACTCCTGTCCTCTGCTGCTTGCTTTGGCCTGAGACCGGGGCCCAAGGTGTGTCCTGCTCCAGGCAGGGTAGACACCCTGCCTACTGAGCCCATGGAGGCAGATGACATGGCGTCCGGGATGCTGAGACCATGCTCATGTGCTCTCTCCTCCCACAGGATTACATCTGCCCACGATGTGAGTCTGGTTTCATCGAGGAACTTCCAGAAGAGACCAGGTAATGTAGCCCCTTGGTCACAGAGGCCTCGGGCCCAGGTGCATGTTGGTAGGATCCAGGCCTCTGGGGTGAGAGAGCAGAGTTGTGATGAGCGGACATGTGGGTGTTGTACCCATTGCTGATTCAGATCTGTTTTTGGTGGGCAGAGCCTGGGAGGGCCATGGTGGGCAGGGGTTGGGCTTGAGGTGGTGCCCTGGAGTCCTGAGCAGCCAGAGATTAAGATCGTCTCCACTCTCCTGATTTGGGATGAGGGCAGGGGCTGCAGAGGGTAAAGAGTGACCCTAAGGCCCGCGGGGGTCAGGCGGGGGTCCTGCCTCTTCTCCAGCGGGTCGCCCCACTGCTGACTTGCACCGTGTCCACCCAGGAGTACAGAGAATGGTTCCGCTCCCTCCACAGCCCCCACAGACCAAAGCAGGCAGCCATTTGAGGTGAGTTGATTGGCCTCCCCTGACAATGGATCATGCCCCGCATGGCTGAGGAAACAGGTTCAGCCCCTCGTCCTGCAGGTGGTTGCTTATGCCACTCCCCAACAGGCAGAGTTGTCCTTCTCCCTGACTCCTAGGACCTCTTTTTTTCTTTAACTAAACTTTTTCTTTTTAATTGATTTGAGAGAGAGGAGAAAGGGGGGTGGAGAGAAACATCTACTTGTTGTTCCTCTTAGTTATGCATTCATTGGTTGATTCTTGTATGTGCCGTGACTGGGGATGGAACCCGAAACCTTGGTTTATCAGGATGACACTCTAACCAACTAAGCTATCCGGCCAGGGCCCTGGGGCCTCTTGAATTCCCCTTCCTTAGTCCCTCCTCTGGAAGCCTCCTGCATCCCTCACATGCACCAAGATTTCTCTGGTGTCTCCCTGTCCCCTTGAAGCCCCGAGCCTAGAACAGTGGCCACAGTGGGGAGGAACTGTGGTGCCCATGCAAGGGGCCCACGGTCACGGCCTTCCTCCTGCAGAATGTGGACCAACACCTCTTCACGCTGCCACAGGGCTACGGGCAGTTTGCTTTCGGCATCTTTGACGACAGCTTTGAGATCCCCACGTTCCCCCCAGGGGCGCTGGCCGACAATGGCAGGGACCCCGAGAACCGGCGGGAGAGAGAGCAGCAGTCCCGGCACCGGTATGGCGCCCGGCAGCCCCGTGCGCGCCTCACCGCAAGGCGGGCCACTGGCCGGCATGAAGGCGTCCCCACGCTGGAAGGGTGAGTGAGCTGTGGGGGGCTGGTGGGTGAGTTGCTCTTGGGGGCTTCCAGCCTGCCCCACTCTGCTCAGGCAGAGTGACCATCTGCCCATCCAGAAGATTCTATGGGCACAGAGGTGTGGGTGCTGCTTCTGGGCAGGGCAGTTTTCCCATGAGTTCTGGCAGAGCCACCCAAACCTGCCATGCAAAATGGAGTGGTGCAGATAGGGGTCGGGGCCCTGGCTGAGCTAGGGGATGGGGGTACTGAAGGACACAACTCAAGGGCCTAGACAGGGCTTAGGGGGCCTCATGTCACACTGAGTGTCCCCATCGTCATTCTAAGCAGGGCCTCATTGGCTTGGGTGTGGCTGATTCACCTTCGGGTCCTTGTCCCAGGGCAGCAGTGAGCTGGTAGTTTCTGGTATCCCTGCCCTGTAACAGGGCCCTTAGCCCCCTCCTGTGTGAAGGCTGGCACCAGAAAGGCTTTTTAGCCTGAGGACAGCACAGGAAGGGGAAACGCACTCAGAAGGACTGAGAATTAAAACTCAGTGTTCCTTGCAGGCCCCGTCCCTCCAGAGGAGGTGTGGCTAGGCTTCTCACACATCTGAGATGGACTTGACTGTACACAAAGCACCCATGTCACTTAAAGTGGGTTTAAATCTACACAGAGCCCATCCATTTTCCTCACTGAGCTGGAGGCATTTCTAGCTTAGGGCTCAGCTGGTCCCTGATGCCCCAGCCTATCATGTCTGAGCAGCACCCACACCCTCCTTGGGCTCTGGGTACACCAGGATCCGGGCTGGATGTTTTGGGGCCACTGTGAACAGCAGGGTTGATCCCATGGCTCTCATGAGCTCCAGGATGTTCCCCCAGTTTGTATAATGGGAGTTGGATGTGGTGACACAGCCATAGGTGCCATCCAGGCCTTGGGGAAACCTGGCCTGGAACTCAGTGAAGAAAGCACTTCTCTGGGTTTCTCTCGTGGTTGTTTTTTTTTTTTTTTTTAAATCCTCACCCAGGGATATTTTTTCCATTGCTTTTCAGAGAGAGTAGAAGGGGGAGAGAGAGAAACATCGATTTGAGAGAGACACATTGACTGGTTGCCCCCTGCACACGCCCGCAACTGAGGCGCATGCCCTTGGCCAGAATTGAACCTGGGACCCTTCAGTCTGTGGGCCAACACTCTAACCACTGAGCCAAACTGGCTAGGGGTTGTGTTTCATTCTTTTTCCAATTTTTTTTCTTTAAATATACTTTTATTGATTTCAGAGAGAGGAAGGGAGAGGGAGAAAGAGAGAGATAAAAACAACAATGATGAGAATCATTGATCGGCTGCCTCCTGCACGCACCCCACTGGAGATCGAGCCTGTAACCTGGGCATGTGCCCTGACTGGGAATCGAACTGTGATCTCCGGAATCATAGGTCGATGCTCAACCACTGAGCTATGCCGGCCGGGCTCATTCTTCACCACGAATCTTACCAATTGAAAGCACAACCTTTAAATGCTATGGATTTAGAAGCTGAGTTAGAGTTTTTTGTATATCCTCCCCGGGAGGGCCCTGGCCCTGGGAATGCACTGACTGCAGGCCCTGACTTGCTCTGTTCCAGGATCATCCAGCAGCTGGTCAATGGCATCATCACTCCAGCCACCATCCCCAACCTGGGCCTGGGCCCCTGGTGAGTAGGTGGGCGGGTCCCCCAAGCCCCACCCAGCCCCTCTGCCGCTTGAACCCCACGCATCTCTGCCCAGGGGTGTCCTGCACTCAAACCCGATGGACTACGCCTGGGGGGCCAATGGACTGGATGCGATCATCACACAGGTATGGGGTAGGCCTCCCCAGTTAGCACTAGGGACATTGCTATCTTTCCTTCTGAAGGGATGCAGAGTTTTGATAGGCCCATGCGCCCCCCTGCCCGAGCACTGAGAGGACTGTAGGAGTGTGACCCTAGTGGATTGCATCCCTGGCATGGATGCTCCGCTTTCTAGCTCCCCAGCTCCCTATAACTTCAATCCTGAGGCTGAGGCACACCAGCCAAATGCTTCCTCCTAGCACGGCACCACTGTAGAGCAGGAAACTGTGTGCTGGGCGCTGTAGGTCCTGGCTTTGTCTCACATGGGTCTCCACGTTCTCCCCAGTGAGGCCCGGGATGTGTGTTCACTGTGACCTCAGTGGCACTTGTGAGGCAGAGACATTGCCATCTTCAGGGCTGCTTGCCAGTGATCCCTTTGAGTATTTTGTTTCTGATAGGATTCGGCCCTCTGGTTTTAGCTGAAGTCTCACAGCACACAGGATCACATGAGCCCCTGGGTGGGACCCTCAGCCCCAGGGCCCTGTCTTCCTGCCCTGGCTGTGAGGTGACACTAACTAGATGAGCAGAAGAGTGGGTAGGAGCCAGTGGCTGGGCCTCATGGGGTGACTGACCTTTAACCCCTAAGTGGGGGTCCTGGGGACTAGGACAAAAGCAGCCTCAGTGCTTTTGCAGGTAACCCAGCCTTGCATTTCAGAGTCGGGCAGGCTTCTGTACTCTGGCCTCTTGTCTTTCAGCTCCTCAATCAGTTTGAAAACACAGGCCCCCCACCCGCAGACAAAGAGAAAATCCAGGCCCTTCCCACCGTCCCTGTCACCGAGGAACACGTAGGTACGTGGCCCTCAGTCGCCTAGCTTCTTTTCTTTTTGAGATAATTTCCCTAGGATTTTTATGTTGGACCAAAGGTCGGCTTGAAGGGGGAGGCTTTATCAGTGTCCCCTCTGTTCCCCTGGGACACAGGACTCAGCCTCTCTCCCTCCTCTGGGTCCAAGGTGGCTCTGGATGGGTAGTCTCCCCAACGAGACACCTTTGGTTGGGTGTGTCATGGACTCCCTGCTCCCCGCAGGCTCTGGGCTGGAATGCCCTGTGTGCAAGGACGACTACGAGCTGGGTGAGCGTGTGCGGCAGCTACCCTGCAACCACCTCTTCCATGATGGATGCATTGTGCCCTGGCTGGAGCAGGTGAGCAGGCGAGCAGGCTGGTGGCCACTACCACAGGGCCTGCCCCATCCCTGCCAGCCTCTGAACTGCTTCCCTTTTCCTGCTCTCTCCCCACAAAGCACGACAGCTGCCCTGTCTGCCGAAAAAGCCTCACAGGACAGAACACGGCCACCAACCCCCCAGGCCTGACCGGGGTGAGCTTCTCCTCCTCCTCGTCATCCTCCTCCTCCAGCTCACCCAGCAATGAGAACCCAGCAAGCAACTCCTGAGTCCCCCCGCCAGTCCCCAGAGTAAGCACAGGACCCTGGCCAGCACCAGGCCCTGTGGGCATGAGGGACACGGACGTCCTGGAGCCCAGGAGGTGCCCCCCACCTGCCTCAGCTCTCACACCACCGTGGCTCCCATGGACTCTGGTGCCAGCTGTGCCCCCAGCCGTGGGCAGAGGCTCGGAGGACCCACTGCCTCCAGGTTGTGGAGGAAGCCCGGCCCTCCCCCAGGGATGTCCCTTGAGGGGCTGGGCACAGAGGGGCGCAGGGCATGTGTCGCCCCCAGCATCCTGTCCCATTTGTCTCTAACCTCACCCTCTACATGTTCAACAGTGAAAAGGTTTTTATAATTTTAAATTATTACTGCTTTGAAATAAATGGACGTTAGCTCACACGCGGCCCTGCATGATCTGTGGAAAGACTGGGTAGAGCCACTCAGCTGGGGTCTTGGCCCCACCAGACAGGCCAACAGTCCCCACCTTGAGTGCAGGGGGCTCGGGACCACAAGGATGACCAGCAAAACAGAACTAAACTGCTCTGACATGTTTTTTAAAGGAAAAAATATATGTATCTTGGAAGTTATTTAAAAATACACCTACTTAGAGAAGCAGGTGGTTGGCGTTTTCCTTCTGCGCCGGACCTGGGGTTGTGCCTCTTGGGCAGCCAATACCGCTGTCCCAAACCAGAACCCTGGAAGTGGGCTGGTGACATTCAACAAGAAGGTGCAGAGGGTCACTGCATTGGAAACGTGAAGCAGGAAACCCCAATGTGCTGAGCTGTCAGGTGAGGCTTCCCCAGCCTATCCTTACTGGAGCCGATGATGTTCATGTATGAAGGCTATTCTGGAATGCAGAGTCACCCAGGTGGAACCACTGGCCCAGACCTACCACAGTGAGTGTCTGCACCCCGCCCCCAAGTAATTGACCCCTGGCTTTGTTTTCTGTATTTTAAGTGGCAGAAGGAGGGTGGGAGCCCTCACCCCACCCCCAGGGACTATTATTACCTGTCCCAAGCAGAATGGCTTGGGAGAGGCTCCCACATTAGCCCCAGACGAAACTCCATGGGGTAAATGGCATCATGATTCTCACTTTATAGAAGGGGAAACTGAGGCCCAGAGTGGAATTGCCTGGGCCAAGGCTGCAGAGCTCAGCCCCGGGGTGGGGGGCTCGGGTTCTGGGAGGGTGGTGGGCACTCCCCCAGGCACAGCACTTCTTGTGTACCCCTCCTCCACCCCCAGGCTGACATGAAGCCCCTCGGCCTGCACATGGCACATCTCCCCCACAAAGAACTGAGGAGTTCTGAAGACATTACTCAATTTCAGATCCTGTGTGTGTGTTTCTATAGCTGCTGTGACAAATCGCCAAAACTTTATGGCTTAAACCACACACATTTATTCTTTTAACAGTTCTGGGATCTGGAGTCTTACATAAGTCTCAGGGGGCTAAACCCAGGTGTGGGCAGGGCTGGTCCTTCCCTGGCTCGTGGCCCCTTTCTCCATCATCACAGCCAGAAGCACAGCCTCTTTCATCTCTGACTCAGACCCTCCCACCTCCCTCTTATGAGGACCCTTGTGATGATACTGCCCCCACACAAGTAATACAAACAATCTCCCCATCTCAAGGTCCTTAACTACGTCAGTATGTCCCTTTGCCGTGTAAGATAACATATTCACAGGTCCTAAGGATTAGAATGTGAACATCAGGGGGGCAGGGAGGGCATTATTCTGTCCAGCACAGATGTTGTCTGAACACCAGAAGGCCTCCATTGTGACTGACCAGGTGAATTCCTTCCTGAAATGAACAGCTACTGGAACATGCAGAGTAAAAAACAAATATATGTTGAATAAGCAGTTGGTAAAGGCCAATGAATCCAAGAAACTCTGGAAAAGGGCTGACTCCTTGTGGGGCTTCATGCTAACATCTTGGCTGGACTGAACATGGCCCATGAATTTCATTTCCAGCCTTACAAATTTATTCCTTTGGACAAGGCCAGGGGTTGTCCTGCCCGAGTCATGAGAAATAAATTAGGGTAGCAACTCTTAAGTCAGTATGTCAAGGTTCATTGTTTCTCAAGATGTTAATCATTTTGCTGTACTAAAAATGGCTCATCGTCAAATTTAAACTAATTTGAGAAAAACACAGTTAAAGTCCCACCTAATTAAATGTACTTGAGTCAAAGAGATTTTTTAATTTGAGGACCTGTCAGAGCCTCAAGCAGTTTGTCAGTGTTGTTAGAGTTGAACAAGCAGTTCAAATAGGAATGTAGAGTACAGCATACCCCCAAATGCTTTGACCTCC